CACTTCCCTTCATGTTTCACTTCCCCACCCGAGCCCTGCCTGTGGATCAGTTCATTGACTATTACAGTATTAAGTAACAACTTTCCCAGGGCAGCATCCTTCAAAAGGAAAGATCGGCATTTTACAGATCCTGTGTCATTTATTAGGGCCCAGCCAGGGATGACGTAAGACCAGGTACCAAGTCGTTGAGAGGCCTTCAATGAAAAACTGTTTGATTCATTAGTCTCTGAGTAAAAACGTTCCAAGACACACAATTTTGTGTTGTCTTTCCACAGATTTGACAAGTTTTATCATTTGGAGCAGTAAAGTCAGAGGCCACTGAACGTTTTTTTAAAAATGTATTTGTTTTATTAAATCCAGCTCCAGACTGTTTATTTTTATTTAATCCAAAACTAAAAAAACATTTATTAACGGGTCGTGACCCGGTGTCAGAGACTTCCTCCAGAATTCTAAAGCACTGTTGTTAAGAAATGTTGTTAAATAGCTCTGTTATTTTATATAAATCAAGTTTTCTTTTTTCATTTCTCTATGAAAAATGTCATATGAAAAAGAAAATCAAACCACGTCCCCTGAAGTCGTTAAGGAGTTTCCTGTGTGTGTGTGTGTTTGGTGTGTATCTGTGTGTGAGAAAGAAAGTGTGTGTGTCATTGTTTCTCTTCTATTTCCCTTTCATTTTGTCAGAGTCACGGTTCATATCTGTCCTTCATTTTCAGTATCTGTGCCTCTGGTTTGTGGTCACGGAAACGACGTGTACACATACAGTACTGGACTTCTGCTTTAGGTGCATCACTGTGAAAGTGCACACCCACACACACACACTGTTGACCGGGTGTGTGTGGGTGTGATGCAGTGAAGTCAATGCACAATCAGTTGTTCCTCTCAGCCTGGCATGAAGCCACACCACAGACCTTGTGGCTGCTCGGAAGACACACACACACACAAACAAATACTTCCTTAAGTACTTCTATTTTATAGTAAGCTTTAAAAACTGTAATACATTTGTCCAGTTTTGTTCTCTTTGTTAACTTCGCTGCTGACACAAGGCTCTACACTGGGTGGCGCTGTGGAGTAGTGTAGTGAGTGTTTTTTGTCACTGTATCAAGTGTATCTGCTGCAAACCTGGGGGCGCTGTTGCTAAACATGTGGCTTCATCTCTTACAGTAATCCCACTTTGAATGCAGCGGGTACATTAGCACTGAGCCACTGGTTACCTGTGTGGCTGTACGCCTTCAGCAAACTTGACACTAATTGCAGTAAAAGCAGAAGAAGCTTTTTAATTATTTCTAGGTCAAAGGTTAAATAGGTCTTAAATCTACTACATTCATGTCATGTTGCTATAGATTTACTAGGTGGCGCTGTGGAGCATCTCTGTTACATTTCACGATAATTATATCCATAGAACTAAGCATGTGACAAACAAAAAATCTCGACGGTTGACGTCGTAAACGTCCTCCATGTCGTTCAGCTCACTCATTTGTAAACTGCTAAAAAATAAAGGTTTATCCACTAAATATGTAAAGGGAAAGTTAGGAAAGGAGTGAAGTGAAGACACTAAACTTCAACTGTGTGACGGGTTTGGCGTCTGCGGAGGGAGGAGGAGGAGGAGGTGAGCCTTCTTCCTCTTCCTTCAGTGTTAAAGTGGGGTAAACTCAAAGCCAGACCTTGAAAATTGCATGTCCTCATTTAGCTGTGTTTAACACGCAGCTGAAGGAATCATGCTGCGAGCAGAGAAATAAATAGAATCCACAATCATTTGTGGCGAAAGGAGTGCCGACTCAGCTGGGGCGCACCACTGTAGGAGATGGAGAGTCGGAGCTGTCGCCTCCGCCGCCGCCGTCGCCAAATGACAAGAGCGTTTTGTGACAAGAAAGGAGAAGTAAAAAAAAAAAAGAAAAAAAAAAAAGGAGGTGTAGGGGGTGGGGTAAAGGGAGTTAGTGGAAGAGAAGGAGCCACAGTGTCTGACATGATGCCTTTTATTTCCAGGTATTTTTTGTGGTGAGGATGTTGGCAGTTTGGGGCCAGTTCCTCTACTCTGTGTCTCACAGTGGTTTCTCTCACTGATGCTGCTCCTCGCTGATGCTGCTCTTCGCTGATGCTCTTGTTACAGCCTAATTGTTCTGTTGTGAGTGGCTGTTTCGCCTGATGCTTTCTGGCTGTTTGTTGTTCATCTTTGGTCAAGATTAAACCTGGATGTCTTTGTTTGTTTAAGAGTCCCACTGAGAAACGGCTCTTCTCTCTACGGCTCCATGTACACAGAGATGGAGTATGTCAACGACAACAACAACATTTGGTCCTCAGTAAAAGTACACACGTCCCTCAGCGCTGACCTTGTCAACTCTGACACAGAAGCTGCTCGACCTCAAACGTCTGCAAACCTACACTTCCAGCCATCCCTGCCAACTCCTCTCTCTGATGTAACCTTGTTGTTTTGACCTCTGGCCGCTGTCCAGTGACTTTCTGTTCCTAAATGCACTCAACTGGCACCCAAGTCTTTCCCACTGACGTTTTCTTGCTTTTCTGTGAGCACACGTCGGAGGGGAAATGTAACTTTAAACTCCAGTCAGTTCATCGTGGAGCAGCGCAGCACTTAATGATCAGTCTGAACCACGGTGACTGTGGCGGAGCGTGGAGGACCACGTCTCCTCCACTTCCTTCACTTCTTTTCTTCTTCTCGTCCGATCTCTGTCCCCATGCATTGTAAAGTTAAATTAAATCGAGAATGAAATTCTTTTTTGCTAAAGTGTGTGTGTGTTAATGGCATGTTTTAATGACAGTGAGAATAAAGAATAAAGTCTGTGTCTGTCTGTACAGGAACAACATGTGACCACTGATGGACCGTGTTGACTTTGTCCACGGAGCCGTAGGACGTCCACATCTGCAGCCTGTCAGGTCAGGTCAGCGCTGGACTGAGCCGAGGTTGAAAGGTGCCGTCTCTCATTGGACCCCTCCTCTCCTCTCCTCCCCTGATGCGTCTCCCGCCTCCTCTGAACGACGGAACTTCGGTGAGTTTGGTTAAAAACCTCTGGATTTGTGTCCGTAGGAGGGAGGAAGGGGAGATTCATCAAGCCTGTCAGAGGGGGTGGGGGGTTAGGGGGCTGGGCTGCTGGGAATCCCCCTCTGGAGAGGGAGCTCACCCTGGTCCTGATGAGGCAGATTCATCTTCCACATGCTGTCAGACCACCATACACTCACGGTTACGTAAGGGAAGAGATGATTGAATGACAGGGGCTGGAGGAAGTCTGGCTGGGAATGAATGGGGGGGGGGGGGGGGGGGCTGCTGTTACTCTGTAGGTCACATGATGTTCCTCAGAAATGTACATTTAAACCTAGGAAGTCAGGGCAACAATCATCATCCAGGATGAATTGAGTTTGTGTGGGAAGGAGGAGAGATACTCAACCTATGGCTCCCTTCAGCCCCTTTACATTGAACCCCTGTTGGATAATAATAATAACAACAACAATAATAATAATAATGATTGGTATTGATTTTTGTTCCTCCTCGTTCATCTAGCTTGCTCTGTAGTCTATTTTAATGACGAAACTCAAATACATTTATACATTATAAATACAATCTAAAGTCTTCAGATTCTTCAGATTTTCATTTTCCTGAGAACACGACATCAGGAGTTTGACGAGCCATCGATCAGTAACCACTCAAAGTCTTATTGATCAGGTTTGATCTGCTCCTTGATGTCTCCGTTAATGTAACGATACATGTATTTGTGTGAGTTTGTGTCGGTGCATCATCGTCACACACACACACACACACACACACACACACACCTCTGCTCGTTAATAATCAGTCTCTGTGGGGCTCAGATGGGATGTTGCTGCACGGGTCTGATACTGCATGTCATAAGACCAGTTCTGATTAAATATGCATGAAGCATGGAACTGTAGGTGTGTGTGTGTGTGTGTGTGTGTGTGTGTGTGTGTGTGTGTTTGGTTGGGGTGGATGCGATGTGACAAGGGTGTCGGTGTACTCGGCGGGAGGTCAACTTCAGTGGAGACAGAGGAAGGGGGTGGAGGGGCGCAGGAGGTGCTGAGTTACCAAGGAGATGATGACACCCCTCACACACACTCTCATGCACGTTCCCCCCCCCCCCCCCGCTCCCCGCACCACTCCACACACACTGCATTCGTATTAATATTTAAAGCTCCTCTTTACAGTAACAAACAGTAATGAAGTGATGTTTTAGGGAGCGTCACAACATTCCTCACACTTACGTACATCACAGGTGAGAGAACAAACTGTGTGTGTGTGTGTGTGTGTGTGTGTGTGTGTGTGTGAGGGTGTGTCCTGAGCAACAACATCTTGTCCATTAACTTAGTTTCAGAAACACTAGAACCTTTCTGGAAGTCTTCAGGAAGCCAACAAAAAAATTGTAATAAAAATGATTTAAATCGTTGGTTTGGACAGCCAATCAGTAGCAAAGAAAAAATCATCAAAGTTGACAAAAATCAAATAGAAATGTAAAGACGAGCCTAGTGTAAAGACAGAACTGTCATAGTTGAAACAAGAGAAAAGAAAAGCTAAAATCAAAACAATGTGTTATATTTTTTAAGTAAATAAAAATAAATAATTAAATAGATAAGATAGAAAAAAAAGATTTACAAATTTTTTTTTTGTAAATCTAAACAAATTAAACATACTTCAGTGGTTTTTACTGTAATACTACACAGCTTTGATCCTAAATACTATTTATTTACTCACATTATTACAATATAAAATATTTCCGACATGGTGAGAAAACGCAGAAATATTCCCCTTGAATTTTAGACTGCAGTAAAGTTCATAGTCAATCCGTGACCACAGAGTTCTAGAACAAGCACAGATGTTCTTACAACAAACCTACACTGACACTTTCTTTTAATTCTATTTTTAAAACATAAATTATTTCCGATGCCGTGGTGTTGTCCACGTTTTTTTCTCCTTCTCCTTCTTTTAGTCCAATTAGGAGTTTATTTCCCATGATGCTCCTTTGTGCTGTGACTCAGAGTGAGTGCAGTGTCCACAGAGACTCGACATGTCTCTTTGTCTGCGTGTGTCTCTCTCTCTCTCTGTGTGTGTGTGTGTGTGTGTGTGTGGAGAAATGCACTGTCAGCGAAGTCAAAAACACAGGAGAACAACATAAGGAGAAGAGTTGAGGAAACGTGTGAACGTTGATGATGACTTTACATCTGAATGGTTTAAATACATTTAAATATATATGTATATAATGATTTTTTTTTACTTTTTACTAATATTTATTGCACTTTACATATACTTACTTATTAACCAATGCAAAATACAAATAAAAATAATTAAAAAAATTAATATTTAATTTTAACAAAAACATTTTTGTGTCAGAAAACAATTATATTAGGAGAATATAAAATGAATATATCGGCTGTAAATCATATAAATAAATGTCCTTACGTTGTGGTTCAGACTGGACTTCCTGCCCACACAGTGTTGTCCCAGTAAAATCCACGTGGACTGGGAAACAACAGCCCGGGAGACGTTTGTTACCCTAATACCTCACACGTCTGAGTGTTGCATATAGGAGTTTTTAAAAATATCCCTCTGATGAACGCTCCATCCTCATAAATCACAGTAAACACCATTCAAACTGTCCACAGAGAGGGGAAGAAAAAAAAGTTGTTTGTAAAATAACTTTTCTGCTGTTTTCAGCTGCTTTACTTTGCGGCCAAGCATTTTTCTATAGAATCACTGGTTTAAATGGTATTGAATTATTTTTAAATGTTGCCTTGACCAACGGTAGACATGGAGATGAGGAGAAAACTGGGACACTCCAGTTCCAAAATGTGCCACAGGTTTGATGATTGACAAGCACACGTGAAAATCACAAAGATTTTAAAGGGATAATGTGCAGAGAAAAACATGCAAAATTGAACGGTGTAGCAGGAAGCTCAGAGCATCAGAAAATGTGACCCGTCGAGATGAAGATCTGATCTTCACAGACCATCAACTAAATTATTCACTCTGGTTTTACTCACCTGTCATTTCACCTCACGTTTCTCTCTCTCTCACCTGCTCAGTCATTTTCCTTTCACTCCAATAATGCCGATAATGAAAATTCATGGAGCGGCTGTGATAAAAACAGGTGTAATCTCAACAATACATTTTGAAACTTTTGCTTTCATCTTCATCATCCTCATCATCCTCCTCCTCCTCCTCCAGCTGTGTGACAGCTGGCACTACTGAGTTGTTGCATTTCTACCTTCCATTTTTATAAATGATTGAATGTGTGGATCAGACCGTTTCTCCGTCACTGAAGTTCCCACTGAGATGAGACTCAATGATCAGTCAAGGTTCACCTGCGGTCCAAATGTAGACCACCACCCTACATTTGGTAACAGGAGGATCAAGTCCTGGGCCAAACTGCCAGAATAACACAGTTTGGTTTTTTGTTATATTTCAACCCGTTCAAATATTCACACTGAGAAATGTGTCACCTGACTCACCCGCTTGTCTCTCCTCTTCTCCATCTTCTTCAAGAAAACCTGTGTGTTAACATGCACAGGTCATAATCAAGTCCTTCTGGAGAACTGCACGTCAGCAAACCTGGACAGGTCATCAATATTCATCAGAGCAGGCCAGAGAATACATAAGCATTCATTAGGCCTTATAAAAACTCATCATGGGCTGCGTTATAGGTCAGGGGACAGACATGGTGTGGGACGGGACTCAGGGACGGGGTCTTTAGCAGGGAGTGCATCAGGAACAGCATCAACATCCGAGACAGAAATCAGAAATTGGACCAGTATAAGAAACAATAGCAAAAATGCCAAATATGACCAATTACTCCTTTGTATATACCTTTTAAAATGCGAATTTCGATAAAACTCAATATGGTATAAAATATTGAAAATAAATTGCCAAATATCAAGGTTTAATAAATAAAACGTGAACCCCAAATTGATCACGTGAGAGTTACAGGATTTATCCTAACGATGATGAACATGGAGAAACAAAAACGAAAATAAAAACAAAAATCCTCCACTTACCTGAAACTTATTAAATCACCAAAAAATGTTTATATTTAAATTAATATAATAATTAAAATATTTCATTTATTTGTTTCTGGCCACGTTAAACCGTGATTGGCTCCACGGCTAAACTGTAACATCTGATTTCAAAACATAACATTTTTCCTCTGATGTGTGTGTGTGTGTGTTTAATCGTCATGACGTGTAACGTTGGTTGCGCCTGCAGCTAAAACTCACACCAAGTCAAAGAGCTAACAAACGTATCACGATGTTAGCGTACAGTTGGAGGCAGCCAAGTTCGGTCAGGCTCAGCGGCGCCCCTCGGTGCTTTTGCGTCCGAACCGGACAGACCTTGTGTCAGCAGGTTGGTTTAAGGAAACACACACCCATACACACGTGGACTCACAAACAGAATGGCTGAGCAAACAACCTCATAAACAGGTGTAATCAAACGCACAAAGTGCTGAAGAAGGTGGAACGGCCGACGTGTCTGATAAAAGGAGTCTTTGAGGCAGGAAAAAGCCGACGCTGAAGACCATGTCAGAAGAAGAGGAGAAGAAGACGAGGTGGAGGAGGAAGAGGCGGAGGCCGTGGCCTGAGGGTTGTTAGTTTGTGTCTCTAACAGCAGTTTGTTTGAACCTCTGCGTGGCTCGTTTTCCTCCTGACAGCGTCTCCTTCATCACTCTGCCAGGCCGCGGGGGCCACAGGGAGGGTGGAGGCAGGCGGGCGGAGGGTTGAGGGTGGTGATGGTGGTCTGACCAAACACACCCCCCCACCCCTCCTCCTCCTCCAAAAGCTGGACTCTGCAGCTAAAGCGCTGATGGTTAGCTCCCTTTGTGCTGAAGTTCGGGCTTTAAAATGCTGCGTCTGCCTTCGACACGCACGCACCACGTTCACACACACCTCAGCAAAAACAAAAAGCAAAAAAAATACACACTCGCAGTCCGTCAATACGCGGCCGTCACCTGGAGCTGGGAAAACGAGCGGGAAAAATGTTGCTGCGAGTTAGCACACCCGTAGCCACCGACCGCGCTGTGTGACATCATCTGGGGCCCTCGCAGCTCCTCCAGGGCCATTGTCCCAAACACACACACACACACAAACACAGGTGTGCGCACTGATGTGGACATGATGCAACCTCTCAGAGGACGCTGTTGTTTCACCACCAGAACTCACACGGTCATCAGGAGGGTCATTAATTGTGGTGCCCTCAGGGGAAGGTACATGGACAGGGTGGAAGAAATGTGCATGTGTGTGTGTCTGTGTGTGTCCGAGAGAGAGAGAGAGAGAGAGAGAGAGAGAGACTTTTCTGTAGTCCTTGAGAGTCAGGGCATTTGTGGACTTTTGAGGGTATTTTTGTTGCTGCTCCAGTGAGAACGTTTCTTAATACTTTATATTTTAACAATATTTAAAGTTTATAATATTATTTCTGAACAAAGAACATCAAATCATTAACGTGAATTCATGCGATGACTATTAGTGGTATTGGTTTTGCTGGTGTTACGTCGGTAATAGTACGTAAAGTCATGTACTATAGGAGGTACTATGGCTCGGAGTACTACACCATTCTATGGTGCCGTACACCCTCGACAGAGCTGCAGTAAAATGTTAGTGATTTTAACACACCAATCTCAATGTGTTAACTTTGCACTCTAATCTAACTAGATTTATAAACACTTAAAGCTAACACTAGCCCTCATGTTCTTACTACTGCCACCTGCTGGAAACCCACGGTTCTCCACTTGGTCTTATTAATTTTATTTTAAAATATATGAAGTATTTATACAGTTCTTCATCATCTTCTCTCATTTAATTTTGGGCTAATTTTTTTAAGCTTTTCATTTCAAAGCTGTAAAGTCTACTTGAGTTGACTGGACTGGACTGGACTGGACTGGACTAGACTGGACTGGACCAATGGTCCCCTGGACTACACCCAGAACATCTTGACCACTAACAGAAGAAATTCTGAATCTTTGAGTCTTAATCTTAAACCAATTCTTCAGCAGCAGCAGGAAGTGGGCAAGTGTAGAAGTGAGATTATTAATGTGTGAACGTATGTGCTGCTGAGGAGGTGGAGAAGCTGAGACGCTGCTGCATCTGGTAGTGGACAGACGTTTTGGACTTGTGTGTTTGCGTTTTATGCACAGTAAGAAACATAATATTTGTGTCCGAATGAACACGTGTGTGTGTGTGTGTGTGTGTTTTTTTACTCGTTTATGAAAAGCAAAAGCATTAGCAAAAATGTTTTGTACACCTTAATGAACTGTTTAAGTGTCAAAGTCTGAGGTTAGCAGTCTGACAAATACTGATCAGGGTACTTCAAAATGAGAAGTCCTCTCAACTATCTTTGATATATATATATATAAGGCTTAGTTTAAAATGCAGCATATTTAATTATTTTTCACTGTTTGTTTTTTTCCACATTCTTTCTTTCTTTCTTTCTTTCTTTCTTTCTTTCTTTCTTTCTTTCTTTCTTTCTTCATACCTGCTTGCTGTAGGGTGTAAAATGACTTACACCCTACATTCATGCGCTCCGGTTTGTCCGTACGTCCGTCCGTCTGTGTTTGTTTATTTTCCTGTTTGTGTTTTTTTGTGTGTCAGAGACGGTGAAATAATGTGCACATGTCGTGCTGTAAATCTGCTCTGTTTGTCTGCTTTTCCCCCTCATTAGGGAGAGAGAGTTAACGTTAGCACAAGTGTCCTGCGCTGGACCGTGAGATTAGTAATTAACGCCGAGTCTAACGAAGGGAGAAAAAACAACACCTCAACAAAGTCCGGCCATCAAGCAGCTAGACCTGCTGACGGAGACAAACTTCTCCACCGACTGTTTCAAACCGTGCCTGAGCTGCACACACACGGCTGACAGTGTGTGTGTCCCTTTGTGGGTGCGGTGTTTATTTTTTTATTTTCCTCAAAAGCATAATTTATCATAACGAAGCCAAAAATATTAAGACAAAAAGGAGAGACGTGAAAAACAGCCCCTCCCCCCATTTAGCCCCAAATTTGTTATTTACACTTTTAGTATTTTGACCAATCACACACTCCACTCTGTCAACCCCCCCTCCCCCATTTCCTACGTCCTCGCCCAACCCTTCAGCGTCGGGCTTACGGAAATCCCAGAAATCCAAGCGGCTGGAAGCTCCCCGTGGTTAATGATGTCACAGGCTGATCCATCCCTGTGTCTGCTACGCTCCTGCTCAAATCCCCCACAATTCCCATATGTGCTCCATGATAAGTCCCATCATGCCTTTCTGTTGACCCTCCTCAGGCCCCTTATTCATTTGGGCCTGTCTCCTGGATTTGGGCAGACTGGGGCGGGTGTGTAAGGGTTAATAGGCTGCTAAGACGGAGGGAATGTGAAGAAGACGTGTTTGAGCTGGTAGACTCCACATTAAGAAGATGTCCAGAGTGTGGACGTCTTTCAGTTTGACATTCTTCAATACAGTAGGACGGAGTATACGTTTCTAAAGTTGGGTATTAAGACAAAGGAGTACATTTTAAAATATCAGGTTTAAAAAGAACAGAGAAAGAGCTGATCCCTGGTATAGTGGGTGTAACACTAATGCAAACCCACCCGCACAGTAGGGGGCGCTGCGGACGCCTTACATTGTCACTCATACTTGTTTATCACAACAACAGCTAAACTTCTTTGAAAAGACACTGAAGCTGTATTCTTGTCATTACCTTACTAATTTTGTAATCAGTTCCCTAGTGGACTACACCAGTACTACATGTGTAGGAAATAGGTGAACCATGGCAACTGCTCATCTGAGATCTGATCTGATCAGAGAGGCATGATGTTTGGTATAAAAAAACTTCTGGTTCATTGACTCTCTGGGCTTTAAATTGTCGACCTGGGACCGCTGAGTTTCTGAAAAATCAAACAAAAAAACAAAAAAACAAACAACAAAATCTAAATTTTTAACATTTTCTTTAATACATTTGACTGTGAAGTATAAATATGAAACTGGATTCTGGCCTGGTAGCCTCACTGCCTGACTGAAAAGGACACAGCTGTTGATGGCTGGCTGCCCTCAAATGGTCCGTGACCTGGATGTTTTCTTAAAAAACAAAACCAAAGTATGACAACAACAATTCGCTCAAATTTTTTCATCATTTTTTTCAAAATTATTTGAAAAAGAAAAAGCCTGCAACCCCCCCCCAAAAAAAGCAAATACCCACTCTCCTGTATTTATGTACTGTATATATGTACTATATTTCATGTATGTGCTGTGAGTTCAGGTTTCCTATGTAAAGATTTCCATCTGCGTTCACCTGCACCTTCACTGAAGGACTGAGAGAAAGAAGAACACGAGTGTGTGTGAGTGAATAATTAATAATAAGTAGATTTCAATAGACTGAACATGTCCTTCCTGATGAGGGAGCTGTCAGTCAGTGGGGACCTCTCTGTCACTGGACTGGTGAGTGCTCTGATGTTGATGCACCAGCCACGGCGGAGATGGATGGAGTTGGATGGAGGATAAAAGGCAGGACGGAGTGTTAAAAAAGAGCGAGGGATTGGTAGGAAAGCAGTCCGTCTCCCCCACCTGGACAGACTTGTGTATGGCGCTCTATCACTAGACCTTGGGGACGATGAACCAAAAACGCGCCTGGAGCAGAGAACAATGAAATCATAGCCGAGACGTGGGGCTGAGCTGGAGAAGAGAAGTGGCTAAAAAGGCTGTGAGGGAGGCGCTGACGGAGGCAGTTGTCAGGATCAACACTCTCAGGTGGCTGCCAGCTTCAGAACATTTCTTCCAGGCCTTTCAAACTCTGTACACTCCTGGAGTTTGTCTGTGGACGAGGATGAAGACGTGTCTGGACCAAGTAGACCTCAGCTGTCAGACGAGTCAGAGCTGAACACAGTTCAAAGATTAACACGGACTAACTTCCTGTTGGCACACATTTATTCTGATCTAGATCTGCCAGACCTGCATTTGGGCAAATGTTTTGACTGTGTCAAACAAACCAGTCCACAGTTCTGCTGTTTTGTAAAACAAGTCATACTGTCGACAAAATCCAGCCCGGATTCTCGGCCAGAATTCTTATGTAGGACTACAATTCTTTCTAGTCTCTTGGAAACTTTTGGGCTCAAACTCTTCCTGCGCTAATAAACTTTGGTGAAGGTCTGACGGACAAACCCAACATCCAGCTGTAGGGTTTTCTTCCCGTTCTTCCCAATCGTTGTTGTTTTTTCTTCCCAACATTTTAAAAGAAATGATGATTTGTTTTCAATGTTTAACTCCTGTCCACCATGATGGAGATGTTCCACAGTTTTATCCTAAAAAAAAGTAAATTTCCATTCATTCATTCATTCTTTCATTCATTCTTTCATTCATTCTTTCATTAATTCTTTCATTCATTCATTCATTCATTCATTCATTCATTCATTCATTCATTCATTCTTTCTTTCTTTCTTTCATTCTTCTGCTTCATACGTTTTAGGGTCGATGATGGGTTGGTGGGGATATTCCCTGCAGTACTCTGTATCCTGGACAGTCATGAGGTCCAGGAGAGATCCAAGTAAAAAAAAAAAAAAAGAAACATTCACACCTCTGGTCAATGTAGAGGGAAAGTGACTAAAAAACTGCTGACCACTGCTGACCACTGCTGACCACTGCTGACCACTGCTGACCACTGCTGACCACTGTTTATTTAGTCTTGTTTATTTTCCATTATCAATAATCTTATGTTCAAACTCCTGTCAGGTCCACTTACAGTGACACTTACATGTGTACATGTGTACTATCACTACCTTTACATGTGCCGACCCTTTAAACACACACACACGCACACACATCCTCACACATTTACTCGTACTGACACAAACAGTGTCTCTTATAAATTTTTCACAGCTGTGATCTGTGCTGAAGGTGAAAAGGCCTGGACTCTTCCCCGGGTCTGTGTCGTCTCTGGTCGAAGCTTTTCCACATGTGAAACACCGCTAACAACTGCCCAGGGAGGAGGAGGAGGAAGATGAGGAGGAGGATGGAGGCGTCCATGTCTGTTCAAGCGTGTTTCGATGAGTCTCCTCAGATTTCTCGTCTATGGGAAAAACCCACCGTTTTATCATCTCACTGTTAAAACATTTAATTTTCTTCTTTATTTTCCTCCATTTTATCTTCACAGACAGACTCACATGCAGGAGTATAAGGAGGACACACACACACACACTCTCCTCCACGTTTCCAAACACATTCTCTCAGGTGAGTGGATCTGAGCCAACCGTGTCCTTGACAGTCCTATTGAAAAATTAAACTCCTCTCTCTTCTCCTCACCCGCATCGACCCCTCCTCCACTTTGGTCTCTCTCCTCCTCATTTACCTTTTTTTATTCTCCAGACGAAGAGTCAGGAGCACAGCGAGGGGTTAAAGGTCAAGTTAGTGGGATTCCCGGCTTTCACTCTCCTCTTGAGGTTCCAGGAACCAGATCAGTGATGAAACCCGGGGCAGGACCTGCTGTGGAACGTAATCCAGGAGGAAGAGGAGAACCTGATCATGGGTAACAAAAAAAATAAAAAATAAAAACAGGAGAAGAACCAGTTTGTTTCAAGTTAGTTACGACTTGGTCATTGAGGTTTATTAATCTGTCTCCATTTATATAACGATCACAATAATCATTAATTCTGATTAATTCATAGCCAACCAGCAGTTAATCAGTTAAAAATGATGATTGTTTGAAACCCTAATACACTCACACACATATAATGCATGTATATGTAAATGTATTTATTTATGTATTTTGAGATTTAAGATGAATTATCGGAATTAGAATCAGATTAGAGTGATGGTCAGGATTAGGATTAGATTAGGATTAGGGTTAGACATATATTTGTATAATAGTCCAGTTCAGGTCAAGGGTTTAGGGAGAACATTATAGCTCTGTGAAAGTCCCACAAAACATAAAAACAGTGTCTGTGTGTGTGTGTGTGTGTGAGAGAGAGAGAGATTCAGTGGGTGTGTGTAGTTGGTTATCTTTGGTCAAATATTGGACGTGAGAACACACACACACACACAGCAGCAGGTCAATATCTGTCAATACACTCTCCATTATCCAGGACTTGATGAACCTCCAGGTTCTCTGTGTCGTCGCCTTCTCTCACAGAAACATAATCTTTATCTACATGATTGTTTTTGGTTCTCTATCCTCAAACAAAGGCTCAGGACTGGAGGCTGAGTGCTGATCGTAGACTCCACTCACCCCCAGCTGCGCCACCCCCTCCTCAAATCTGTGTCTCCAGCAGCCTCTGGCTGAGCTGAGCAGAGTGGTCTTCTTGATCCCGTGGAAGCGGTTTGAAGAGTTTTTCAGCGTCTCCGCTCACTCTGACTGACAGATGAGGTTGCTGGCCTGAATCCTCCCAGCTTTGGTTCTGTGCTGCCGGCTCTCATCCAAGCCTGATCCCACAGAGGGGAGCTGCATCTCCGTCAGGATGGATTTGACAGTGCTCCCTCATCCCCAGGATGTCCAAAGTGCTTTCACAGTTTCTGACCAAAGCCCCTCTTCTGACCTTGGTGTCTTTCAGCCGAGCCAACTGGAGTGTGACCAGAAAGCGTGTGTGTCTATGTGTATACGTACGTACAGGCCTGGTGTGTGTCTCGGATGACTCCATTTAATTTCCTGTATTTGGTTGTTAGTGAAGCCACTCTCTGACATCCACTGGAAGTCTGTGACTGACGACACAGATATTACTCAGTCACATAAATCTTCATTTACAAAAATGAATTTTCAGCCATGCCACTGTGACAAGTTTTATGTTGGTTTTATTTAAGTATTTCAGCACTTGGAACTACTGCTAAAGTTGATTGTCTTGATTCGTTTTACTTAATAACTTTGGTGTTTGCTAACTGCTATATCTTATTTAGTGATTCTAACTGTAGGTTGTGGATTTTAGATTTGTCAGTTTTTGGCTTGAATCCATCTTTGAGTATGTTTTGTTTTTCATGATTTTATTTTAGATCTTTTTTTTACTTTCTCTCATCTCATCTCATCTTTCTTCATTTATCAGGTTCTGAAGTGACTGTCGCTGCCAGGAAGTCCAGATTCTCCTAAACCACTTTCAGACATTCCCTTGACCCCATACTTAAAGCTCAACTGACTGAGGAGAAGAAAATCCAATGAACTTCCACAATAAAGGACTGGACTACAATGGAGCCTTGGCTCCTCCTTCAGAAGGTTTTCACAAAGAACCCGTAGTCCATAGATTCCCATGTTTAGGCTGATCTTCTGTCTATGTCTGGAGTATTTTAGTTTAACTTTGTCAATTATATTATATTTTGCTAAAAAGGAACCACGTGTTCAGAGTTTATTACCTGGACTGGACTTAGGTGAAGAATACTTTGGTACAATATATTACCACTGGATCCTTAACTGATGACGTCCCTCCCTCCCCTACTTTATGTGTGTGTGTGTGTGCGTGTGTGTGTGTGTGTGTCAGGAGACAGACAGGACATTGACTGGGTCAGGAAGTGACTGCAGTGTGTAGACAGAGGGGTGGGATGTGACTTTCATTGATAAACCCCTCTCAGTCCTAGACCAGGAAGGAAGCAGCCCAGGCTGTGGGAGGCTGGGGGAGTCTGGGGGAGACACTATGGATCCTGAACTGGGACAGGAGTCCAGTCACTGCCAGCCATTGATCAGGATCATAATCAATCAGGAAACCATTGAGCAGCCAGGTCCAGAAATAGAGTGAAAAAGCACCTGAGTGTGTGTCAGGGGTTGGGGTCAACCTGGAGTCACAGCTGACCGTCTGAAGACACCCCCCACCCCCGCCTCACCCCCGAC